GTAAATTTTATCGTGTAAATCACGTAAAACTGAAATCATAAATATCATAAAACCTTACAATGATTTTGAGACAATAATAAATCTAATGATGCAGTAAGTATTATTCTTATATCAGTAAGGTACAAAGATATGGCTTACTAAAGATTTGTAACAGTAATATTTGACCTTTGCTGCTGATCCACTGAGATCCCCATCCCAGTGGATCGTCTCTCATCCACAGGTGCTAAGTGAGGTTAGTAGCAATACCAGCAGAAATATATATACGCAATCTGGTAGGGAAAGCAAGGTCTGGTAGAGCAAACAGGGTCTGGTAGTGGTGGCAGGGTCTGGTAGAGCAAACGGTCTGGTAGTGGTGGCAGGGTCTAGTAGAGCAAACAGGGTCTGGTAGTGGTGACAGGGTCTGGTAGTGGTAGCTGGGTCTGGTAGTGGTAGCAGGGTCTGGTAGTGGTAGCAGGGTCTGGTAGTGGTAGCAGGTTCTGGTAGTGGTACCAGGGTCTGGTAGTGCTGGCAGAGTTTTGTAGTGGTAGCAGGGTCTGGTAGTGATAGCAGGGTCTGATAGTGGTAGCAGGGTCTAGTAGTGGTAGCAGGATCTAGTAGTGGTAGCAGGGTCTGGTAGTGGTAGCAGGGTCTGGTAGTGGTAGCAGGGTCTGATAGTGGTAGCAGGGTCTGGCAGTGGTAGCAGGGTCTGGTAGTAGTAGCAGGGTCTGGTAGTGGTAGCACGGTCTAGTAGGAGAAGCAGGGTCTAGTAGTGGTAGCAGGGTCTGGTAATGGTAGCAGAGTCTGGTAGCGGTAGCAGGGTCTGGTAGTGGTACCAAGGTCTGGTAGTGGTGGCAGGGACTGGTAGTGGTAGCAGGGTCTGGTAGCAGTAGCAGGGTCTGGTAGTGGTAGCAGGGTCTGGTAGTGGTAGCAGGGTCTGGTAATGGCAGCAGGCTCTGGTAGTGGTAACAGGGTCTGTTAGTGGTGGCATGGTCTGGTAGTGGTGGCAGGGTCTGGTAGTGGTGGCAGAGTCTGGTAGTGGCGGCAAGGTCTGGTAGTGGTAGCAAAGTCTGGTAGTGGTGGCAGGGTCTGGTAGTGGTAGCAGGGTCTGGTAGTGGTAGCAGGGTCTGGTAGTGATAGCAGGGTCTTGTAGTGGTAGCAGGGTCTGATAATGGTAGCAAGCTCTGGTAGTGGTAGCAGGGTCTGGTAGTGGTAGTAGGGTCTGGTAGTGGTAGCAGGGTCTGGTAGTGGTGGCAGGGTCTGGTAGTGGTAGCAGGGTCTGGTAATGGCAGCAGGGTCTGGTAGTGATAGCAGGGTCTTGTAGTGGTAGCAGGGTCTGGTAATGGTAGCAGGCTCTGGTACTGGTAGCAGGCTCTGGTAGTGGTAGCAGGGTCTGGTAGTGGTAGCAGGGTCTGGTAATGGTAGCAGGCTCTGGTAGTGGTAGCAAGGTCTGGTAGTGGTAGCAGGGTCTTGTAGTGGTGGCAGGGTCTGGTAGTGGTAGCAGGGTCTGTTAGTGGTAGCAAGGTCTGGTAGTGGTAGCAGGGTCTGGTAGTGGTAGCAGGGTCTGGTAGTGGCAGCAGGGTCTGGAAGTGGTAGCAGGCTCTGGTAGTGGTAGCAGGTTCTGGTAGTGGTAGCAGGATCTGGTAGGAGCAGGCTCTGGTAGTGGCAGCAGGGTCTGGTAGTGGTAGCAGGCTCTGGTAGTGGTAGCAGGGTCTGGTAGTAGTAGCAGGGTCTGGTAGTGGTAGCAGGGTCTGGTAGTGGTAGCAGGTTCTGGTAGTAGTAGCAGGGTCTAGTAATGGTAGCAGGGTCTAGTAGTTGTAGCAAGGTCTAGTAGTGTAAAAGGGTCTAGTAATGGTAGCAGGGTCTGGTAGTGGTAACAGGGTCTAGTAATGGTAGCAGGGTCTAGTAGTCGTTGCAGGGTCTAGTAGTGGTAACAGGGTCTGGTAGTGGAAGTAGGGTATGATAGGGTAAACAGGGTCTGATAGTAGAAGGGTCTGGTAGAAGCAGGGTCTGGTAGTGGTAGTAGGGTCTGGTAGTGGTAGCAGGGTCTGGTAATGGTAGCAGGCTCTGGTAGTGGTAGCAGGGTCTGGTAGTGGTAGCAGGGCCTGGTATTGGTAGCAGGGTCTGGTAATGGCAGCAGGCTCTGGTAGTGGTAGCAGGATCTGGTAGTGGTAGCAGGGTCTGGTAATGGTAGCAGGCTCTGGTAGTGGTAGCAAGGTCTGGTAGTGGTAGCAGGGTCTAGTAGTGGTTGCAGGGTCTGGTAGTGGTAGCAGGGTCTGTTAGTGGTAGCAAGGTCTGGCAGAGGTAGCAGGGTCTGGTAGTCGTAGCAGGGTCTGGTAGTGGCAGCAGGGTCTGGTAGAGGTAGCAGGCTCTGGTAGTGGTAGCAGGATCTGGTAGTGGTAGCAGGATCTGGTAGGAGCAGGCTCTGGTAGTGGCAGCAGGGACTGGTAGTGGTAGCAGGCTCTGGTAGTGGTAGCAGGGCCTGGTAGTAGTAGCAGGGTCTGGTAGTGGTAGCAGGGTCTGGTAGTGGTAGCAGGTTCTGGTAGCAGTAGCAGGGTCTAGTAATGGTAGCAGTCTCAGTAGTAGTAGTTACCAGTCTCAGTAGTAGTAACCAGTTACCAGTAACCGTCCGTTGACTCAACGACCGGTTACTGGTAACTGGTTACTACTACTGAGACTGGTAACTACTACTACTGAGAGCAGGGTCTAGTAGTTGTAGCAAGGTCTAGTAGTGGTAGCGTGGTCTAGTAGTGGTAACAGGGTCTAGTA